AAAAGAAAAGAAAAGAAAAGAAAGAGTACAGAAAATAAGAAAAAAATAAAAAATAGTTAATACCAATGGCCCTGTGATGAATGGATGCAAAAAAGTCAAACACAGAATCTAAGAAAATAGGGATTAGTGATGTAGGTCAGAATTTACAATTTGATTATGATGAACCTTGGTGTGGTTATGTTCATAATTCAAGTTTCTTGCATCTCCGGGTTTATATGGTTTCATTATTAAACCATTATTTCATTGAAAAGAAAATTTCCACATTATTCTCCTCTAATTACATATATATTGGACCATTTTATGTCCCATGCCTCACTTATACTTTATTCATTTTTTTTGTTATCTTCCTGTTTTATTTTGGATACTTTCCATTGTTGTTCTCCTTTGCTGTGTCTAATTTCTTAATCCCATTCAGTGCATCTTTCATTACAGGTGTTTTTAATCTCTGGAAGTTCTATTTGGGTCTTTTTTATATCTTCCATTTCTTTCATCATTGTGCTTATATGTTCTCAAACACATGGAGTATATTTATAACGGCTGTTTTAACATCCTTACCTGCTAATTCAATCATTTGTGTCATTTGGGTTTACTTATTGACCCCCTGTCCCAACCCCAGTTATAGGTTGTATTTTCTTGTTTTTATATATGTCCAATAATTTTTGGTTGGATGCTAGACATGGTGAATTTTATGTTGTTGTAAGTTAGATTTTGTTATCTTCCTTTAAATATTTTTGTGCTTTGTTTTAGGTTGTAGAACTTGGAATCAGTTTGATCCTTTTGAGGTTCACTTTTTTTTTTTGAGACAGAGTCTCACTAGGTTGCCCTTACCCATGGCATTACAGCTCACAGCAACCTCAAACTCTTAGGCTTAAGCAATTCTCTTGCCTCAGCCTCCCAAGTCGCTGGGAACATAGGCACCCTCCACAATGCCCAGCTATTTTTTGTTGCAGTTGTCATTGCTATTTAGCTGGCCCAGGGCCAGGTTCAAACCCACCAACCTTGGTGTATGTGGCTGGCACCATAACCACTGTGCTACAGGCGTCGACCCACTTTTGAGGTTCACTTTTAAGCTGTGTTAGGGCAGGTCCAGAGAAGCCTTTAGTGTAGAATTAATTCAGTTCTGCTGAAAGTAATACGCTTCTAAAGATTTTATCAATGCTGTGTATGTTAGGAGGTTTCACTGTTCTGTCTGGTGGGAACACAGATTATTTCTGGCCTTGGATAAACTCTGGGAATTTTTGTCTACTTTTTTCTGTTGGTTCTTTTCCTAGACTTGGTGATTTCCTCACAGGCAGGTATAGAACAGTACTCAGCCAAAAATGTGGGGATCTCTGTTCAGCTTCCCCCTCTCCGGAACCATGCTCCCACAAATTCTAGATGCTTTGGCCTTCTTGAACTCC